AACCTTATAAGATTGCAAGATAATTTTAGACCTTGCGATGTTCTTACTATGGCAGAAGGAAGCTCAGCACGGATTCTTTGGAGTCAAAGGAATTCTTGACATAACCTCAAGACAATCTTCCTTAGGTTTCTGGTAAGGCCGATTCAAGAATATCTTCCACCAAGATTTTTAAAATAAGTGAAAGCGTCAGGGCCAGCTTTTAGTTTCTTCAGCCAAACTCAACATTATCAATCGCCGCAGAAAAAGTTATGCCCACCTACTCTAAACAAATGTTGTCGTTGGTTAGGGCTGGGTTTCCCTGAGTTCTTTTGGACTTTATTAGTACGATTTAACCTCAATTTTGGATTTATTTGCTTTTGTGGAATTTCTTGCCTCGAGCTTTGGAATTCTCACTTGCTTTATGCACTTTAATTTCCTTCATCTTATGTTTTGGGCTTCTCTGCACAGTATTTTTTGCTATGTTAGTGGCACAAAAGACTGACGCTGGCCAGCCTAGACTTATGCTATAGTATCACTCGATTGGTGTTTACATCTTTGAATAAGTGAGCACTATTTGGCTGATTTGACCCTGCCTCTTTTCTTCTGTAATTATTGTTTATCCTGCTTAGTTGTCTTCATTTTAGGCCGCAGGCGCCTTCGGCAATGGGTAACCGCACCTTTGACTGACCCTGAAGCGATCCGCCTTCGCCAGGAGGCCATACTTGTTCTCATCAGTCATAGCGAGTTAGCTCGTGGGCTCCGAGATGATTTGAAACACCTTCCTGACCTTGAAAGGCTTCTAATCAGGTATGCACGTCCTGATTAGTACTAGCCATGGTTCAAACGTATTTGAGAAAGGGTATAAAGCGAATGCTAAAGGGCCTTTTACATTACAATGGTCATTTTTGTAAAGGCCAAATCCTTCGCTTTCTGGTCCCAACCTTCTCCTGTAACCATTCATTCATTTGGAGTTTACTACTTGAGTCTTATCCTACGGTTTGTTGGACCTCAATTTCTCAAGGAAAACTAGGCCTTTTTCTCCACCTAGAGTTGTTTATATGGGCGACCATGAGTTCATTTATATTATCTCAATACGTATGATTGACGTATACTCAACAAAAGCTTCATTATCTTCAGTAGGCCTCATTAAAATTCAGATTAAGAGTGCAAATAAAAAATTGCTACCTTTGCTTCCATGAAGCTGTCCAACAAAACTTTTTCAGCCAAATTTTGAAAGAGATTAAAGTTTCATCCGCTAAGCATAATGAATCACTCGTAACGTAGTTTATTTTGTGGACATTTTTAGACTTGACGCTCCTTTTTCTTCTT